GGGGGGGGGGGGGCTGCCCCAAGAAGTGGCCTTGCCCCGTGAGTGGCGAAGACCCTCGGGGGCAGTTCCAGTCGTCCTGAGGCCTGTATAAACTAACTTAAGATAGCAGAGGGGCGCCCAACCCAATGGTGATAATAAAACCAATTAATAATAACAATAAGATCGATAATTACAATTGGAATAATATTATAGCAACGGAAATAACAATAGGATTATCAAGAACATCCGGTTCCCACCCCGGTAATGCAGGTTGCCTACCTTCTGTTAAAAACGTGACCCATAAGATGTTCTACGCCAGAGCCTGAAAAACGCTTCATATCAAAGCGGAACTCACCTAAAATGCAAGAACTCATTTGCACTGGTACTTCATCTCCAAATGTCTGGCGGCCGGCAGCCGACATTCTGGGGTCACTTCCCCAAGGTCATCACGAACAGCCCCCAAAATGCGCTAAAAAATATAAGAAATCAGTCCACAAAATGAATCGTATTGACAGGTCGGATCGCGTGGATATGGACGGATGAAGAAGGTCCTCACCTTTTGGCTCGCAGTTTTCTGCCTTGAAGTTTCCAAGCAAATTCGCTCCGAGCTGCTCTAATAACTTTGCTTAGAGTTTCATCAGAAGCACTGCATTTCACGATTTCTCTAATTCACAGATCAAATTTGGCACTGACATAAACCAAGAAGAAAGATGATTCACCTCCTTTCTAACAAGATCACAGCTGCCTCGTCATCTTAGGCATTCACCTCCTCGTTAACCACGTAATGTACACGTACGACGGGACACGCGTTGAGTGGCTTCCAGAAAATAAGTTCGAAATGCAATTTTCTAAACATATTCCATGTGTTTTTTAATTATCTGAGGACAAAATTGTATTTATGGAGTGTAATGACCCATCAGAACATAAAATTAACAAACGTAATTCGAACTGTGACCTTGTACGCGTACAGACGAAACAAGGTGGAAGTTTAAATGTTACACATACTCTAAAATACATATATGATTATTATTTTGAAATTGTAAGCAATAGAATAAAATCGACTCGTATTTTTTACCAAGAGCATAAATTTGAGTATGAATACATAGACAGTTCAGAAAAAGTAGTTTAAAACTTTTAATAAATGGTGTGTCGGCCGTACTTTCACGGAAGCAGCTTCTGATACCACGACTCAGGTGTCCACTGGTTAGGCCAAGGTTCTTCCAGTCTCCACACGTGCGGCTCACTTATTGTCCTGATGATGGAGGCAGCAAGGACCTCTGAAATTTTAGTAAACTTCGACCCAGAAGACCGCCATCTTCATACCTTGTCAAAATAATATTTTTCCATTGACTTTCGCCCACTTACAAATCCTCTTATTAAAAAAAGGGCGAACTGATTCAAATGTCCGTCAACTCAGAAGCCACGACTTTTTATTGCCAGCTGATCAACAAACGCCTACGACATTTCGTCACCAAAACATATTTACAATTGTAATGCGTAATGTAAAGAAATCACTTTCCTTCGGTCTTCATTTTGAGAATCTTTTTTTACTACAGTAAACATTGCACTTAAAATTTAGGAAGTAAGTAATATAAATGCTCCTCATTATTACAATTCCATTATTCAGAAACGTAATGCAGTAAGTACCATAAAATAATGTGGTATTTTAAAAATTTCTGTGATTTTAAAATGCTCCTTCATACATTTTTATACATAACACATATTAGTACAAGTTGCACTTTTCTTATGCCTGATGAAAGTTTCAGAGAGTCCCACACGACTCTGTGACGCGACGAACTTACTTCTTCTTGCGTAATACTTGCAGTGAAAATGGATACTGGAGACCAAATGCAATCAGCCGCTGGCATTTCATCAACAACAAAAGATCTAATCACGTGTTGTTTGTCTTTAACTCTAACATCTGCACGCCCAATCCTGGGACTCCAGACCAGTTTCGTCAGCTTTACTCTCCAAACCATTCATATGTAGTCGGACACAAAGACTCTCTTTAAGTCAGGAACGCTCCCGTGTCTGCACAGATCTCCGTTGTCCAAGTACGACACCGCGGCACAACTGAGGGCCGTCGTAAGCGATTCGAAAGACAGAACCGGCGCAGGAAGTTTCTGCCTGCAGAGTCTTCTTGCGGGAGGTATCTGGTGACCGGAACGGCGCAGAAGAGGCGTCGGTCGTGCCGAGACGCCGTCGTTTCCTCGGATCTGCTTACAGAACGGTCTAGTTACAGCTTCTTTGTAACTAGCGGTGATGACAGGCGGTTCCCTGTCCAGATGAAGCTGATACAAACTTAGCACAGATTCGCTCTTCAACGGAAGTTCTAAAACCACCTGAAATTAAACAGCATCACATCTTAGTTCACGCACTAACCACAATTTCCATTCTCATTTTCGTAATATAATAAATATTTATATCTAACATTTTATAATATACATAGATTAATTTTTAATCGTGTATATAGAAACTTTTGGAGCTAACTGAATAAAAAAAGACTACACGGCGCAACAACACAGAAGACAGCCATCTTTAAAAAACATCGTATTCCAGTACTCCACTTTAGAATACCACTCCATATGCTCCGTTGCCAGCGAGACGGAAGACCCTACGTGGCTCACGACAACGACAAATCTAGCGCAGATGGAGACGCAGTTTATCAAACAGCGTATAAACTTTATTAATGTAACCTGAGCCAGAAGCCGAAGATGAATCGGTCTTAATGAACTGTTATAAGTTGAGACTGAAGAAAATTTGAAAGCTCGTTCTTCACCTAATAAAAGCTTACACTTGCCATAATTTATTTTAGACACAACAGAACAATCGACTTCCCCTCAGACCATTCCGGCCACCGCTCACTAAGTGACAATTCTATTGCTAAAGCGACGCAACGAGTCGTACCTCTCGTTCGTCAGAAGAATCGGTCCGAGATTCGTTTCTCGTCTTTTCCTGAGGACTCACTCCGCTACGGGCAACCAAGTCTTCGTCGTCCTCTTCTAACAGCAGTTGGTCCAGATTGTTCAGAGACAGTGACCCTGGCAGAATATTTCCCTTCTCGGCCCTCTGTTTCCTGGTCACTTTGCCGACATGTGGTATCCTCGAGTTCAGATGTTCATGCCTGCTTCCAAGGGGAGCAGCTCCTTTCTTATCCTCACTCTCCAAATCCTGCACACACGTGGACTCGAAATTCGACTCAGTCTGATGATTGCAAGAATTAGAAATTTTCCTCTTGGACTCGCTCGTGCCATCGCCGCTGTTTTTCAAAAAGACGTCACATTTGTTATTGCCCAGTTCATTTTGTATAACAGCTTTTAAAATGTCACTTGCGTTCTGACAGCGCGGTCGATTTTCTCCACTGCGTGTTGTGTTGTTGCTATTTTGGTAGGACTGTATCAATGGCAGCACGAGCTTCAGAACTTCGCTGTTTTCGTCTGCACGCCCATAAGACTGGCGCGCGTTGTCCTCATGTCCAAGCGTCTCTCTTTGGTGCCCGGAAAGCAAAGACTGGCCACGGTTTCCCTCCTCAGACTGCGGTTCGCGTGTAAAATCTTTCTCCGCACCTTCAAATCTGGAAGTTTTCTGTTCATGCTGAAAGAATTCAAAGTCGTCATTGGCTGCAGTAGTGGCGGAGCAGCAGCTGCGTGAAGAAAGGGCGGCGCAGATAGGTTCATCATCATCATCATCATCATTAAGATCTTCAGAATTTAAGTCGTCTTCACAGTCTGATGACGGAAGGTGCGAATTTAAATTTCCGATTCCAAAATCCGTCAGCAAATTCCCACTTCCACTCTGTTGTGTGGAATTCTTACCGACTTGGTCTGTATCTTTCTTCTCGACTGAATCCATTTCAGTAGGCAAATACACTTCAAATTCTGAAAAATTTCGTGATAGCTTACAAATATCATCATTTGTACATATTCGTCGTTTGAAAATATCTGAATGTTGATTTTCTGTGGATGCAGAACTGAAATTGATAAGCGTCTGAAGTAATTCATTTCTCCGCGTCTGAGCTCCTGGCCGACCCACGTTGATGTTGTAAGACGGCACAGCTCCACGTGTTCTCACACCTGAAATATGCATACACACATTACTACCACTTCGTAAGTACAGTAAATTACAAATCATGATCCGTATAAAATCAATGAGAATGCGCCGGATGGCCATCTTTAATTCAGTATCGAGGGCAAAATCTGTTCCCTCTGTAACGACACGAAACAATATTTTCAACTCACCCACTCACTTATAAAAGAATAATTATTTTATTACGCATCTCCATGGTCTGATGGAGCACAGGCAACACTGCATTACCTTACGGACACAACGAAAATCCCACTTAATTAAGCAGGCAAAGTAAATATGTATTAAATTTTAAATTTTAAACTAAGAAACTGAAGACAGTCATCTGAATTTTTTCCTGATGGAGCATTATCAGGGCTTAACATTTGTACTTCCAGACGGCCATCACAAACGCAGTATCAACAGAGATCGTTAAAAACAATAAGGGTCCGTTTAAAAGCATTTTTAAGAACTTAGTTACAAATCATCTCCTTTTCAATTTCCACCTACGTCTGAACCAACGGAACATCAGCGCGCAAGATAAAGGCTGGGAAATGCTTCCGCACGTAAAGGAAACCAGAAATGGCAGCAAAGTTCACCCCACGTTTCTTTGGGTGTGTGGGATTCAGACGATACACAGGGCAGAGGTCACTGCCTTTCATAAGTAAACACACACGAATATGTCTGCATGTGCGTGGGATTGATTCAGTATCACGCAGTTTTATGTTAAAAGTTCAAGGTCCCTACAGCAGAACAGACGCAGAAGCTCTTGGTTTTGAACTTGAAAACCAAACAAAGACAATCATCTAATGTACAAGCGGCTACTTGCAACGTTTAAACTTCAACCGAGCCCTTGCAGTGCCCAGGCGCACTCAACCTTCTTCACTTCAAGAATTATTTTGTGGTCTACGGAATCACAACGTCTTGAGATGCTCAAATGTTTTATCACTTCAGGCTTTAGTATCAAATGTTATCCACTCGCAAGATGTGAACCGGATTTAAAGGCCCACATTTTCAAGAAATATGGTGAGAAAACCATCTTACCAGCTGTAAACACTTTCTTCTGCATGAACTTTGAAGTGAAGGCAGAAGAGATTTGGAAGGAAAAGGTTATGATTTATTCTGAGCATTTGCTTGTGGTGACTGAGTAAAACCATGAAAAGTCTGAAGAGAGATGGTTCCTTTGCTGAGAAAACAAGTGATACTCGGTGATTCATCAAGCACGTGAAGGTTCTTGCTGCCCAAAAATACAAAACGCTAAACAAAAACTCTCAGAACTTGCAGAAGAGACTATTACGCCTTTGATTGATTATTGTTCGGCCTGGAGCAAACTAAAACGAGTGACGAATTGATATTGGCTCACCTTTGGCCCTCCTGTAGTTGTGAATTATTGGCAGTCGACCATCGACGCTGGTAAAGAGGGAGCCATTTGTGATGGGGAACTTGGCGGGTTCCTGCTGCAAGTGCTGATGCTGATGCTGATGCTGGGACTGTGGTCGACTGGAGCCCTGAATCTCTGCCTGATGCTGAGACTGCGTGCCAAACACTCGGAACTTTCCGTCCAGCCCTAACAAGAAATGCACATCAAAGACCTAAAACTATTTCTGTTGGGTGGCTTTTGTCTGCTCGAGTTGAAACTTTATGAGGGAATTCACTTGCACTCCATTTATCTCCGAAATGAGTGGTCACAAACGTTTGTTCCTTTCAAGTGAGTCCAACCTGAACGTCACGAGAAACCCTTGGCAAAGCACCACCTACGCCTCGGTCTTCCCAGTGGTCGTCTCTCTTCAAGAGACCACTGGGAAGACCCCACAATAGACGGCATCTTCAAAACAAATTTCGTTTCATTCTTGAACTATGAGAACTGTAAGAAACAAAATACAGCACAAACCAGTTTGATACAGTAACAGGAGACGAAGGCCTCTGCCAGGTGAAATTGCAGTCAGCGACTTTAACTCTCAGCCTGTTCACAGCAATTGCTGGTACAAGCGAAATCTGATGCTTCGTGTTACGTAATGCATCTCGATCGCCTTGAGGAAGTTCACATACCTTGATGCTGCCTGGCCAAGTCCGCCACTCTCCTGTCTCTGCAGGTGTAAATGTTGGCGACCCACGCCGTGAAGTTGCCGTCACACAACGAGAGCAGAATAGGCAGGAGGAATTCCTCAGCTACGCCTGCCCACAAGACCAGGGCTGGCAACGACCACACCTGAGGCAGCATCGAGGGGGCAAACATCCCCACAGCAGTCAGGCCCTGCGAACATCACGAGGACAGTTCTTATGTGGCGGAATGCGCGTTGGCAACATTCTGAAAAGGGCCCAGCACCCCCAACGGCTTAGTTCGTCGTCTCCAGGTGTCATGACCGCTTGAAACCAGTGTAAAGTTATTCCGGATAACAAAACGTTCATATGCCAAGTCTATATTAAAACCTAAAATTAACTGCAACCAGGTTTTAAAGTTTATCTTTCGGTTTTGGGAATATCCCCGAAGAACGTTCAACGCGTTCCATTCCAGCAACACTGCAGCCGCCATCTTCAAGCAGAGTAGAGCGTGCCGAAACACTGCAAAAACATTTATTCTTGAAAGATGACTTAGACTTTATTTATTTTGGCCAATACTGAGCATTCTGGACTATTACTTGACATAAGGGCCAAATACATTTTTGTACACATTTAAATAGTTGTTAGTATTTTATATTATTCATCTACGTACAGTCTTCATACCAATGATGATTTTGATATCATAACTGTCAAATGCCAATATGCAAGTGTCAACAATCTTTATCTTCATCTCACCGTCGTCGTGATTGCATTTGAATAAGCGAGATGATGCATACGTCAGGGTTACATTAAAATAAAGAACTTTATTGCAATTAAAAACAACTTCCCATTTGCAGTTACATCAACTATAGTCCGCGACTGTAATCTTGAGACTTGCGGGGTGAAGGAGGAAAGATTTTAACGCTTCGGACTTCCTGCATTCCTTGCAAATCTCAAGATTACAATCGCGGACTGTACTGATGCCACGTGTTGAGAGGATGATGGTGGTAAGTGACAATGAGAAGAATTTATGAAATGACAAGTGGGAGAGCGTCAATGAAACATCCAATCTCATCAGAAACCCCCCCACACACACATGAAATATTTTTCTCTGCACAAGCGTTGCGCGAGCAGTGACGAAGTTTCGGTAAAAACAATCAAGAGTCCATAAACTTCGCTCCGGCAGAGCTTAAAGAGAGAGTGACGATAGATGAGGGGAGGGCGTTGAGGTACACAAGGATATCTGCTGAGCGCTCATCCCACCTAATTGTCGCTCAACGTCGACGTTCTCAGAGGGCTAAATTAAGAGACGTCCATTCCAATGTAATCAGCAGTTCACTAGCAACGTCGTGACGTGGTGGAATCCTGGGTACACGAACGTCAGCTACCGCACATGATGAGTGCTTCTGCCCCCAGGGGGGACGACTTTTAGGTTCCGGGTCAATCAGCCCCGCCCCCTTGTCTTGCCAAGATCCAGGCGGTCATTTCTCCCAAGGTCAACGCAGACGCCGGCTTCCTTCGTGTTGGTGCATTTACGAAGCTCCGACAGTATCGACACATATTCATAACTTTTCGCTTAAAACTTCACTTCCTTTCGCTAGACACACCGGACATCCAACGCCTCCCTGTCGGTGTGTTCGGCCAATTTCAGCAAACGTACTTCCATCATCATCGTCATAATGAATTCTTCTCGGGCTACTAGCCGTGTCAGGTGGCTGGACGAAGGAACGGCCACCGACGTTTCGAGAACCATCTTCGTCCTCGAGGACGCGGTCAGTTCATGAATCACACACGAACCAACTCGCCTGCTCTAATTCGGAACAGACAGGCAACATCTGGACATCGCGAAATACGCACCTAGTTTTACACAAGTGCAACCATCAGTCGCAATGGCCGGTTTCCGGGCCGAGCACCGAACCCCGGACCACCCAGTTCAGAAATTGCCGCTGGTAAGGCCTTTTATTCGCCGCTGCGTAGACTACCCGCTCAACACTACTGACAGCAAAGTTGCCGCAGAGTTAAGGGCTTTCGGACAACGCGCAGTACTAGCTAGCTCCCCGCTCAGTCCAGCTCATCCCCGAGTCTGAATACACGAAGCTGCGTCAAATGGAACAAACACGAAGGCTGTTACAATCTTCAAATGACTCGGCGAGTAATTACGACAAAGTCTTCAGAAAAACCTGCGATTCCTTCAATTTCTGGATGCATTACCCCTCCACAAACGTAAAGCAACTCTTTTAAGTGCAGATTCTCCAGGAGGGCGGCCGGCGGAGGCTTCCAAGTTGGCATTTCGCTTCCTAATTTTACGTTTTGAAAGTTGAGGAAGAGTGGCGAGAAAACGCTGCGAATTCTAGGAAAGAAATCCCGCACGTTTCATAAAAACTTCCGTCCCTCTCAGTTACCCTTACGCCTCTAAATTCCTCATTTGTGGATGTCCTGACGACGCTGGGTGGGTCGGAACGACGTTGCGTTGTTCCACACACACACACGCCACTGGTTTCTCGTCAGGATAAAACTTTGGGCTTCAAGATGTCGGTCCTTTGCCTGCCACGTAAATCGCAAAATACAATTCACACACACAAGACGTTCTGTTCTTCAGAGATCCATAAAAATACTTTCCACGCCATCAGAGACATCTCGTGACTACTTTTCCAACGGTTATTTGTAAATTCTAAAATATTTAATTAAAACTGATAAAATTAAACTGGAAAGGTGTGCCCTTTGAGACCACGAACTCCAAAGGTGACGATAATGTTATCCAAGGTCATTTTTTCTAGTGCTGCAACGTTTTCCAATAATTACGTACGTCGGTTTCCGGTGTCCGTAATATGACCGCTGTTCATGCGGGTTGCCTAGTCACAGGAGCCTGAAAATCAAAACTATGGGTTGTTTTAAGACGACTTTACACAAATATTTTAGCATGTACAAACAATTGTCCAAGAAACTTTACCGAGATATTTTAAAATAATAGGATCTTAGGTAAAAATACCTGCGAGTGTGTTCAGGGGCCAGAGAACGAGTTTGTCTCGCTTCCGTGTTCCTTTTGATTCATTAGTAACGACCTTCTGGATTATAATTCTGCACAGAAGGTTCAAGACGCACCTGGAAAAGCTTTCAAGTCGATGCAAACAGCTGAGAACGCACACACATTCATCGCGTGTCTACTTTCACAGCTGACCGATCGTGGAGACGTAACGTCACGGCTCGCTTAGCTGTGGAAACAAACACCTTCTGGAGATAACAGTAAAAAGCCGTGTATCGGCAAGCAAAAATCCACCAACATCCTGGCCTAATACGAATTCGTGTGTTTAGAAACTGTAAAAAGTAAAAGTTTACGATAACCTCTACTGGAAGCAGTTTCACAACGACCACACCAAAGGCCTGTCCCCGCACTGACGTCTGACGCAAGAATTTCGTCTTGTGGTCATTTTCCTCGGTGCTTCAGTACCGTAGTTCCTCCTGACGACGTGGCGACTGGT